CTCCTCTCTCTCTCTAGACGAACGTAACTTACTCTACTACCTACCTCCTCTACTCTCACTCTCTACTCTCTACTCTCTCTCTCTCTCTAGACGTAACTAACTACTCTCTACCCTACCCTCCTCTCTCTCTCTCTTCTTCTCTCTAGGCGTAACTACCTCTCTCTCTCTCTCTCTCTCTCTAGCCTCCACTCATCTTTAGTACATTCCATTTTCATTTCAAGGTTCAAGAACATTGCTTTGACGTCTCCCTCTTATCATGTCACCTAGCAAGAGATTAAAGCATAGCCGTTGGATTGCCTAGGTTCCCCATTTGCTTTTCTAGAGATTATTGATTTGTAATGTGAATTGTTTGTTAGGGAGATTTGGATGGAGGCCAATTTTGTTTCGTGAGATGTTGACACGGGCTTGTCTTTATCTTGCAATGTTAATATTTTAGGAGTGAGGTTTGTATAAGGCGTCTTCCTTATACTGTAGAAGTAGGACTCACCTCTAAAATTTGTTTCAAGATGCACTTCTAGGTCGAAAACTTTACTATGGCTTTAAATTTTAAATTTATTTTTGTTTATAAATTTTAAGTTTAAATTTTTTAAAAATAGTATAAATCTGGTAGATCTATAAATACTTGAAAATAGACAGTTTAGATAATTTGTTGTCGAATGCATTATTTTTAAGACTTGAAATTATTATTTTTCTTTTATATCCGGGCATCTCTAAGTTGAAATGATCAATTTAAAGGTTATCCAATATCGAAATACTCTCTTCTAAAGAATTTTTAAGGCGCAATTTATTACTTTAAGGTTGCAACCTTATAGAAATTTTTTTAATATTTTGTGCACTATGATTAGACATAAATATTCGTGGACTATGCGACTCCAGTATTCTTTTATGTAATAAAAGATAGGACACGGTTTCTATGCGGGCCCTACAATTAAATGATGGGGATTGCAAAACTAAGTTCGATTGTAGGTGGTTTTGTGGTGGCAATGGCAATGCCCACTAGGGTGGGAACGGGTTGGATCGAGTCCGGGTCCACTCGGACCCAACAGGATGATCAACCTCAAATTTTTTAGTATCCTCATCCTAATTTGATTGTTTAGAGCCCCGCTCTTATATAAACTTTTTCCTAAGCTAAATTGGAGTGTGCTCAAACTCAATGGGTATTGCTTGGTGTTCCCTCATAATTGGGCGAGTGATTCAAAGGAAACTCTCTCTTTTGTTCTCTTTAGAAAGGGAGACAAGCATTGAAAACCACCCGATTTGTGGGGTTTTTTCAATGGTTTCCCAAGTTGGGCAATACAATGCTCCATTTTTGGGATCAAGTTCTAATTAAATCCGATGGTAAAAGCTGTCAATCAAGTTCTAATTAAATCCTATGGTAAAAGCTGTCTTTGGGCAATCATGAAAAGTTGGATAAAAGCTGTCTTTGGGCAATCATGAAAAGTTGGATAAAAGCTGTCTTTGGGCGATCATGAAAAGTTAGATTATTTTTTAATGACTTTTCAATATTTTAATGTCCATTTTGGCCTCGGAGACCAAATGACATTTTATTGTAAAAGCTGTCATTTGGGTGATCATGAAAAGCATCTTATCAAAATGGATGGTTTATGTTAATTGAGCTTAAAAATACTTTTAGGTTCCGGTTTCAAAATTTTTTTTTTTTGTGATTGTTCATTACAATAAAAATAGTGCATGTTTCAAAATTTGAATCAAACAAATGACCTTAACATGGTTTTTGAAAAATATTGTATTATATTACTATACAACCGTTGCATGAAATCACTTTCCTATTTTAATGAGCAGTGATCTCATGCAACGGTTGTATCATAGTATCATGCGACCACACTTCTAAAAAACTATGTGTGGTATTTGTAAGACCCAAAATTTTTCACACACACTCTCTTCATCTCAGTAATCAATTCCCCCTTAAAAAAAAAAGAGTTCAATTTGAACCTTAGATATGGTTAAAATGAGTCATCTCCAACAACGAATTGAGGCCATTCATTTGGTGAATTTCAAGATCTTAACCTCTACAAACTTAAAATTATATTTTTCTTTTTAACATTATTCATCTACTGCTAATAAAGCCATCTAAAAAAATTGAAAAAGAAATTTTTTTTCTAAGGCCTAGATCTAAGCATCTTATTGAAATGGACGACCTATGTTAATTGAACTTAAAAATACTTTTTAGTTTCCGGTTTCAAATTTTTCTTTTTTGTGATTGTTCATTATAATGAAAATAATATATAGTTCAAATTTTGAATCAAACAAATAGCTTTAACATGATTCTAAAAAATTGTTGCATTATATTACTATACAATCGTTGCATAAAATCACAGTCGCTTCTTATAAGTTGGGTCTTAAGATTGAAGGGAATGAAGAAATACCTAAATCATAAAATTTACACTTTTAACTTTACACTTCCGATCTAACAAAAGGATATGTTTACATTCTAGCATCTTGGGTAAGCTCTTTCTAAATTCTAATATTAGATATGGACCATCTTTATTGGATTTTCATGTTAAGATTATACAGAGAGCTTTATCACTATTAAGAAGTACCCTTAAAGTGTGTTGGAATTTTTTACTTCATATTAAACTCAATAACTTTTTATTTATATTTATTTCATACTAGTGTTTAGAAAGTCCAACTAGTGGGTTGAACTGGTTACCCACTGGATCCAAATCCGATTCAATGAGCTAGCTTGGCCAATTTTAAAAATATATAAAACTTCAATATTATTAGTTTAAATTAAAAAAATTAGAATACTCAAGTCACTCTTAAAACAATGTTTTGCAATATAAAAAGAAAAACACATCATATTGTGGGAGTATTGGTCCTAGCCTCAATTCCATGGGGATCATATACCGGTCCCCATCCATTCCAAGTTGAACAACAAAAAGCAACCATTCCAATCTGATTTTTTAAACGCCGTTTCGAACCATTGAATTGACATGGCAAACGATATTAGATCTGCATGGCATAGTTGACACTTAACCAATGTAGATTCATGTATCCAACAGATCCTCTTGGAGCTTATAGGTTCCTATATCTCCATGTAGCTTAGACTAGGGTTTTAAAAAACACTAACCCCAATTGAAATCACTTGATCTGGATTAAGAATTGGTGGACCGGTCTTAATTCCCACTAAATATCGGAACTTGCCGGTTTTGTTAGGGAACTAGCCGATCCTTTATTGTTTATACATGTATGTATTTTTCCCACAAGAGCAAATGCACAACTTATTCCTGCAAGAGCACCACATCTTTTTCCCCATAAAGCAAATGTACAATTTGCTTAACAGGAGCACCATAATCTTCTCAGAAAGTTACCCGTTTGAGTCCCACCAAAAAAATCTCCAATACTGTGGAGATTAGTTTGATCCATCGAAGGTACATCAATCATCATCCTCAAAAATAAAAACCTAAGATCTACTTTACCTATCCTTTTGTACCAAAATAAACATGCACATGAGCATCTATAGAATCCATGATGCACCTAAAAACAAGGGATCTTATTCACCATCCATCCCTGTACATATAGTTCTTACTCTCTCTTTCTCTCTCTCTCTCAAGAATACCCAAGGTCAAAGCCATTAAAGTCCTGGTCATATTCATGGTCATAGTTGTAGAAGTTGCTGATTTTTGAACACTTGAACTCTAGTATGTCTGCAACCTTGTCAGTGAGTGTACTGCATTGAGTGAGTCTAGGACACCCCATCACATTAAGGTACTCCAGCCCCTTGCAGGACTCCAATATACTTTGCAGACCATACCTATCAATGCCACTTCCCCTAAGGTTAAGCCATTTGAGATTTGGGAAGCTCTTCCCTATAGCTTGTCCCATTTCCAAGTTTATGTGTCCTCCAGAAAACCCTAGGTGTCTTCCATATCTCAACCCAATGAGCTTAGGGCACAGTCCCTCAACTTCATGGATGGCTTTTGCATTTAAGCAATTGCATCCACTGAGATCCAAGAGCTTCATTTCTTTGCATGATTTCAGCACTTGACAGAGAGCTTCCCTTGAAACACTACCGCAGTTTCGCAGAGACAGAGACTCCAATAAGGGGCACCTGTAAATGGAACACTATATAAGCAGCTGCTCTTTCTTATGCTGTAATTCTTTTCTTTCTAATATTTACTAGGGAAAAAGCTTTTAGAAAAAGCTTTTAGGGAATTTATATATGCCACTTTCTCCCAGCCATCATATCTGAATGATGGCTAGGATGGCTTTAGCTATAATGTCATACGTAAGCTAGTGAGCCACTGATCGTTTGATCCAAATCCGATGTCTCAAATAAAATGACCAAACTACCCCTTAAAATTTTAGGTTTATTTTTATCATTTATTTTATCAAGAATATTGTTTATATATTTTATTAGGAATATTTTTATATTTATCTTATCAAGCTTAAGAAAGGATTGGAAGAACAAATGTGGTGTCAATATCATTTCTAAAAAGAATTAAATAAATATCAAATAGTGTTTAGGCGTGACATTATGATTAGGGACATCTCACCTTTCTATTTAAATCGGATGACTGAGAGGGGTGGCATATATGAATTCCGTGCACCTAGTGCTGTATCGAAAGCTTTCCCTATTTACTAAAGTGTGGGGAAATGGAACATTTTCGCATTAAATGATGCAAATATTAATCATTGCTACATATAATTACGAAATGAGAAGTATATGCTAAAATCATCTGCCTTTGGTATAAGAAGGTTATCTAATCATTTTCCAGCAGGGGTCATATCATCAACCAAACTTAACGTCTAAAAGAGAATTTCTCAAACTTTGTGACACTCCCAAGGTATCCGATTTGCACATTCGATGGCCAAGATTTTCACATTCGATGACTAAGGATAATTGCTATCATCTTGTACTACAAGTAAACAGTGTCACGGTATACAAAAAATATGACATGTATGTGCTTGATTCACATTATTGTGAACCCCTAAAGATTCATGCCCATATCACTATAGAAAATGTATATAATGAGACCATTTACTTTTGATACAAGGAAGTCACAATCATGATTAACTGTTAGATTTGTAATTGGGTGGTTGACGATGTGTCATTGTTTAGATGCAAATTATCAAAACAAAATTTCTTGGACATACTTTCATCTCTTGGATTTCACATCCAATGGCTAAACATGATTCTGATCTCCTTGTACTAATAATAAATGTTCTCATAGCATACAATCCCTAAATATATTGAGAAAAGAATGTATACTCTTGTGGAAACAAATTGGACACTAGCTTCTGAGGAGCATGAACCTACTTGAGAGGACAACAAATCTTCTTGATGTACTCTATTCAGACTAATCTTAAACAAATAAAAAAAGAAAAAGGAAAAAACAAAAAAGAAAAAGACCGTAATTGGGCCTAAATATTGCCTACAAAATATCCCCTCCCACGAGGGAACATATAGTGACCGAAATCAAAATCTTTTTCCTTTTTTTCGGTAACTATTTGTCTCTTGGTTCTACGATGTCTCCTCAATTTCAGATCGAAGTAAATGGTTTGTCTTGCCTATGCGCCTATTTGGATGTACTTAACATTACCAATAATTTATTGTTTCAATAAAATTAATCCTGGTAATGAATTGTTTGTTGTTTGGTAGTGCCCATCATAATGTTGAATGATAGTAAACTTATCAGCACTTTATCTAGAAGTTTATCTTTTCAAAAAGCAGTTTTTACTTTTTACTTTATTCAAATTAATTTCAGGACACTCGCATGTTTTGAGCAAGAAATAGTTAGAAATAAGAGAAAAAGTTAAATTATTAAATAATATTATATATATAATACAAAATATATACCAAACGACTAACAAAATATAACATTGTCTAAAATAAATTAATCTCAAGTAAAATAGTCAATTTCAGAAAAAAATATATTATCACCAAAACCGGCTCCAAGGAGCAATTCTACAATTTGGTCCCACCTGTGCGCACCCAAATGTTAGTATGTCTCACCTAGAAAATCAACACACTCCCACATTCATTGCATCATTCCCCATTTCAGAACAAGCAAGGCTTGATTCCTCAAGAAATTGATCAATTCAACTGCCTCAAATAACAATACCCATAGCTACCATATGAACTACCCCACGGGATCTGCATCATTTTTTGAGCTACAAATTTCTAAACTGATGGTAAAAATAGATTTTAGAGGTATCAAGGGGTTTTCATGTCCAAAGTGTTTTCTGGACTAGATTTTGAGATTAGGCTTTACCAGTTTTCCAGATGTCTATGCTTATGATGCTAGCATCAGTTTCTAAGAACATTGAGAGACTTATGAAGAGTTTTCTTTGGGGATCAGAGAAGTTTGGGAAGAAATATCATTTGATGATTTGGGATAGAGTTTGTGCTCCGGTCTCGGAAGGGGGTTTAGGTATTAGAAGAGTCAAATTTGCTAATCAAGCACTCTTGGCAAAATGGTGATGGAGGTTAATGGATGGCGAGGAAGCTTTACGGAAAGATGTGGTGAAGGCCAAGTATAGTGAGGATAGGAATAATTTGTGCGTAGGAAGGAGTAGAGGTACTAGGAACAATTCGAGGGTTTGGAAAGGTATCTTACAAAATAGGAGGTTTATGATCAGTTATTCTAGATAGGAGGTTTGAGATGGTCGGAAAGTTCCTTTCTGGTATGGTAAGTGCTTGGGAGATGTGCCTTTAAAATGGGTTTTTCCTTTGATTTTTAATGTTGTTATTAATCCACTGGCCAAGGTTAGTGAAGTATTTAAGAGGGAAAGGGCAATGTGGGAAGTTAGTTGTCTTTATAATAGAGTTAACGATGAGTTTATAAGACAATTAGCTGAGTTACTTAATATGCTGGAGAATGTGAAGCTTTTCCAAGGTTATCAGGATGAATTAGTGTAGGAAGTTGAAAGTGATGGTTGCTTTTCAGTGAAGCCCGCTTATAATTTATTGTTTCAGGATTGCATCTTTTGAAATAGATGGTTTTTGCGAAAAATCTGGTCTTGGCATGTGCCACAAAAAGTGAATGTTTTCCTATGGGTATTGTTTCAAGGAAAGTCGTTGACAGTGGATAAGTTGATGAGAAGGGGTAGAGTTTTAACTAACATTTGTTTGCTTTGTAAAGAAAGTGATGAGAGTGGGGATCATTTGTTTCTTCACTGCTAATTTACTTATGACATATGGTGTTGGCTTTAAGAAGGTTGGGTATTGTGGGTTCTTTGCAACATTCATATGAACATTATTGAGCAATTGTCTTATGATGGGCTGCCTAAGGTGGGCAATTTGATTTTTCACATTGGTAGGGCAGCAGTTTTATGGGAGGTATGGTTTTAAAGAAATAGGAGAGTTTTTGAAGATGTATCTATGGAAAGAGATATGGTTAAAAAACGAACACAACATACTTTATGAAATTGGTTTTCGGTTACAAAGGAAGGATTTCATATTTGTAAGGTGGACATGGAGGTATTATCAATATTATGAAATAATCTGTGGCATAGAGGAAGATGGGAAGTTCGGGTAATAGGCAGCCTCAAATTGAACTGTGATGGAAGCTCACTTGGGAATCCAGGACCAGTTGGAGTTGGGGGTATTGTGAGAGATTTCCGTGGGAAAACTAATTTCTATTTTGCAGGTCCATGCGGTGAAAAAACTGCAAATGAAGCTGTACTTTTAGCAGTCTTACAGGGGATTCAAATCATAAAGGAACTGAATATCCTCGTACCATGTTTGGTTGAAGGGGATTCTATGAAGGTAATGAATTGGTGCAATTCAGTATCTACACTCCGTGGAGATTGAGATCAATTTGGTTGGAAGGTATGGAGATTGCGAGGGGCTTGTCTATCTCTTTTAGAGATATTTATCGAGAAGGTAATGCGGTTGCTGACTCTCTGGCGAAAAGAGGTGTCTCTCTTCAGACGTTGGTGAGTTATTTTTGTTTCTTTGTTGTAAGCTTTTATTATTAATAAAATCACATAATCTTTGAAAAAAAAGCCCAGGCCTAATGGAAACAACATCCATAATAGAACAATTGTTAAATGGGCACCCGAAAATATAATGTGAGACCTCGACTTGGATCCAACCCAAAAATCTATAGTTATATAGTGCGACCCAAAAAAATTAGGGACCCAGATCAACATCCAGATCCAATTTGAATCCCAATGGTGTTCAAGTCCAAGATTTGCACCTGGACCCGATTTGGGTCCAACATTTGGACCCATATACAGACCCGGATCAGGTCTTGCCCTCGGGTCCCAGGTCGGGTCCCGGTCCATTGCCACCTCCATCTCGTAAAAGGGATGTTCCCAACCGAATTTAAATTTGAAGCATAATTTAATTCAAAGAAAAAAAAGCAAAAAATAAGAAGAGAGAGACAGAGAGAGAAGAACAAGGTAAGAATTGCCTCTCTGCAATTTGATGAAGACTGGAATCGTTGGCGATTGAGCGATAGGAGATGGACTTGACATTGCCTCCACAACGTTTGAGCAGAAAGAAGGTCCTCTGGTTCACATTGGGATCAAGAATGTCTTCTTCCTTGATAAATGAGGAGATGAAAGATTTGTGATCGGACAGGTGCAAGGGGTCCCAACAGGCGGAATCAAGAGAGGCCTCGCGCCAGGATCTACAGACCTGCGAGAGCGAGTGGAAGGATTGGAAGTCGTTGAGGAGAGAGAAGATGTGGATCAAGATTTCTTGATGGAGGCTTGCCCACCGATCCTCCATGGATCAAACTGCCTAAACTCCCCTCTCTCTCTCTCTCTCTCTC